ATTGTATGGGAAGCAGAAATCACTATTTTTTATGTTTTAACTTTGTTATGTTGTCTACATTAGTCCTGACAAGTTCAGTAATGTTGCATGAACAAATAATTCCTAGAACCTTAGGGGCTTAAAAAAAACACAAAGGTTTATTTCCTGACTTATAACTCATGTCCATTTCCCAGATTAACAAAGGCTCATGTCATCCTTACTTAAGGACACAAGCTGGTGACCTTCACTATCTACTTATCATTCTGACAAGGGGAAAAGGGGAACATGGTAAAAAATGCACTAGCTCTTAATGTTTTTGCCCAGAGCCAACTTATATCACTTCAGTTCACATTTCATTTGTCTAGGCAAAACATGTGGCCTCACTTAAATTCAAGTGAGTAAGGAAGTGTACCCATTCAATTTGCCCAGAAGGAAGAGAACTAAGATATATGTGAATGAACCTGAAGGCTACCATGATGTCATGTCATATGGATTTTTTCACTTTCATAAGGTCAATCAGTCAATTTATTTCCTCTATGTATTGTGCCTTATATAAAAAGATCTTCCCTAAGATGATAAGATCCCAAGGTTATGAGATATCCCTTATGTTTTTCCTCTAATGTGCTTAAATTTTTGCTAAAATCCATTTAGCTCATTAGCATAACTGGAGTTATGTGTGTGTGTGTGTGTGTGTGTGTATGGTAATATGTCTAACATGTTTTTCTAGGTGGATAGCCAATTGTCCCATTCACTGAAAGAACACCCCCCTCCACCAATTTAATATTCTAACCTTATCAATAAAATAATTTTATGTATACATGGATCTGTTTTAATACTCCTCATTTTAACCAATGATGTAATTGCCTGGTATATAACCCCACGGTATAAATATTTTAATTTTTTAGTAGGTAAATACCCCATTATGGTTCTTCTTTTAAAATAAATCTTGTCCATCTTTCTTTCAAAAACTATTCTAAAGTATAGTCTTTTCCCTTTTAAAATATAGAAGAGGCTTACAAGGTCCCTTAAGAAATCCTGTTGGGATTTTGATTGTGATAGTACAGATTTTAAACAGATGTGTCTAGGATGTGTACTAAGGTTTTCTTTTTAAGTTTCTTCAACATTTTTTATATAGTTACTGTGCAGTCTATTTTAGTTTACTTGTGAATCCTACAGTTGCGTGGTCCTCAGAAATATATAAGAACTCTATTGATATTTTAGTGGGATCTTACATATAGCTACCTCTCTGAACTCTATCAGTTTTAAAGGTTTTTTAGTTGAGTTTGGAAAAGACAAATATATATTTTTAATAGCACTGGTTTATCTCTTCTTTCTAATATTTATACATCATATTTAATCTTATTACCTTATTCCCTTAGCTGGATTCATGTTGTATAATGGCTAGCACAATGTTGAAATAGTTATAGTAAGGGCAAGCATTTCATCTCATTTGTGGAAATCAAAGGAATATTTCCAATGTTAACATTAAATAATGTACTTTGCTATAGAGGCCTCTGATATCTTGTAATATGCTGTGTAAATTCATTCTATTCCCAACTTACTGAATGAGTATTGCTTGTTTGTTGTGTTGTTTAATAGAAAAGGGGACTCTATATTTATTAATCCACTAATTTTATATTCTGTGGACTGATTTTGTTATTCTCATTTAATAATGAGAGCTCTTGGGGTGCCTTGGTGGCACAGTTGGTTAAGCATCTGACTCTGAACTTTGGCTCAGGTCATGATCTCAGGGTTTTGAGATGGAGCCATGTGCTGGGCTCCACACTGAGCCTGAGTGTGGAGCCTGCTTAAGATTCTCTCTCTCCTTCTCCCTCTGCCCCTCTGCACTCTCTCTCTCTCCCTCTAAAAAGAGGAGAGGGAGAGAGGGAGAGAGAGAGAGCATGCTCTTGGGGCTATTAATTTTCTGCTAAATACAGCTTTGGCCGTTTAAATGTATATACACAAAGTTGTCTTTTTTCTAACACTCTGTTATTCTAGGTTTGATTTCCTATTTGAACCTGCAGTTCTTTAAAAGAAATTCTTGTTTTTTATTGTTGGCATTACAGTTTTTGAAATTGTTTAACTATGCATTTAAACTTTTATTAATTTTTAGTTTTATTTCACTGTAGGCAGAGCATGTAGCCTGTAAACATTTTATGTTTCATAATATGGTTTTCTTTGAGGTTTAATATATGATCAACTTTTTTCTAAATGCTTCATGACTGTGTAAAGTATGCTTTTTATTTCTAGAGAACAAAGTTCAATAAATATTTATTAAATCAGCTTTATTAGATTAAAATACTCTGTATTCTGTGTTTATCTGACCTGTAAAAGATCAATTAAAGTGTATTAAAATCTCATACAATTTTATTTCTATCAAGTTTTTCTTATATTTGTAACAGCCTTTATGTCATGTATTTTGAGGCTGTTACCATGTCAATGGAAATTCAAGACTGTCATCTTCATTGTGAAGTCTCACTATTTGAATGAAAATATAATCTTCTAGGACACATTTAATATTTTCACAGTCTTTGACTCTATTTTGTCTAAATATTGCCAAGATTACTTTTTTGTTTATTTTGCTTTTGCCTGATATATCTTGTCCATCTTTTTTATTTTTGTTTTTTGTTTGTTTGTTTTAGTCATAATGAGTCCTCTTTGTTTTACGTATATCTCTTCTCAGTAACCTATGGTTAGATTTTGCTTTTTCGCTGAAAAAGAGAGTCTTTGTATTTTAATAGACTAGCTTAATGATTCCTTTATAATGATTCAGCTTCAGAAAATGCTTTCACATTCACATTTGTTCTTCATATCATGTAAAGTACATGGGAAATGTCATTCCTATTTTACACATGAGAAAATTTAAAACCAAACAGTTTAAATATATTTCCCATAGTTATTCAGGTAATATGTGACAGGGGTAAGACTTAACCAAAGGATACTAAAACTAAAGCCATGGCGTTTTACAAGTATAATATACTTTTGTTGAACATCAATGTTCAGATGGACTAACTGGCCAAATTATCTTTTTTTCAAGTAGGTGAATTTACACTAGTGTTGGCATAAATGATGTATTTGGCTATACTTCTGTGATCTTACTTTACACTTTTTGTAGTTTATACTTCACTGTTAATTTCTTTGCTTCCCAAAGTTGGCGATTTAGGCCAAGTGACACAGTCTTTTCTCTCTGCACTGATTTGGAAGTCATACCTACTTTCATTTTTTTTAAAGATTTTATTTATTTATTTGATAGAGAGAGAGACAGCAAGAGAGGGAACACAAGCAGAGGGAGTGGGAGAGGGAGAAGCAGGCTTCCCACTGAGCAGGGAGATCCCAGGACCCTGGGATCATGACCTGAGCTGAAGGCAGATGCTTAACGACTGAGCCACCCAGGCGCCACCCCCTGCACTTTCATATCTAATAGTGGTAACAAGTATACCAAAAAGAATATTAATATTTATTGAATGCATAAGTTCACCCCTATTAAAATAAAGATTTATCACCATTTTATTTCCAGACTCTGTAAATATGATCTTGGATTTTGTTACTACTTAGTATTAAATATTAAAATAATAAGTACTTAATACTTATTAAGGCATTATCTTATATTACATATTTTGTCTTTCAAAAGTATAGTTTTATATTTACATTCAGTGTTATACTTAAAGTTACAATTGTTTAAATCTTGTTTGTGTTTAGTTACATTATTAATAATCAGTCTCTTAACATTTCTCTGTTATAGAATTCTTAAATTTGATTTCTCTCTCAGCTGCCTGAACTAGTGCTTCCTAAATCTTAGTACATGTAAGAATCTCCTATGAATACTGTTACATAGATTGCTGCATTCCATCCCGAGAGATTCGGCTTCAGGAGGTCTGGAGTGGACCAGAAAATCTGTACTTCTAACTGGTTTCCAGATAATGCTATTACTGGACTCGGAACTTCCCTTGGAATAGCACTGACCTGGGCTACATCTTTAAGCCATTTCCCTAGTGAAGAGGTGTATGCTTTCTCTTCTCTTGTGTATTTCAGAATCTCTTCCCGATACTTTTACAAGTAAAAGACAACTTAGGTATATTTACCTTTCTTCAGTACACTCTCCCAAACTGTTCCAAGCAAATTTTTGTAGATTTTATAAGGTAAATTGTTTTCTTGCCCATCTGCTTGAAGGATTTTTTTAATTTATTTTTGTAATTAAAAAAAAATTGCCAAGTTGTAATAGTATGAAACCCTTTTCATTAATGTTGCCTAGAGTATGAAAAACCCTTTCAATTTGCATACTGGGGCTTTTTTTTTTTTAAGATTTTATTAATTTATTTGAGAGAGAGAATGAGATAGAGAGAGCATAAGAAGGGGGAGGGTCAGAGGGAGAAGCAGACTCCCTGCTGAGCAGGGAGCCCGATGCGGGACTCGATCCCGGGACTCCAGGATCATGACCTGAACCGAAGGCAGTCGCTTAACCAACTGAGCCACCCAGGTGCCCCATATACTGGGGCTTTTTTGCTTTTGTTTTTGTTTTAGCTCAAAAGAACTTTTATTAATTTTTGATTACTACTTGTGTTCCAATTGTTTCTGTCTCAAGAACGTCTATAATTCTTAGATTTGGTCTAGTGTTTAAGTCGATGATCTCTGCTATATTTTTAATCTTCTCCATTTCATTAATTTAATTTTATTGTCCTTTTCTCCATTTTGACAGAACTTACCAATTTTTCTTCTACATTAGTGATATATATGTATTTTTAAATACCTATTTCTTTTCAGCTTCTAATGCAGATTTTAATTCTGTATGGCATTTTGGTTTCTTTATCATATTTGCTTGACTAACCTATCTCTTTTTCCAAACCATCCTACTTTCTTTTAGCTTCAGCTTATTCTCTCATTTCTCCTTCTATTTCCTGAGGTTTCTGAGGATACCAAACTTCTAAATACCCTTTCATGTTCCTATAGCAAATCATCCTGCAAGGTCTGTTATTCTGGGTCTCTGAGATACTGTTCCTTCTTTCTTGTCCATCATGATTTTTTTTAACATGGAATCCTTCATGAATTTGCTTGTCATTCTTGCACAGGGGCCATGATAATCTCTGTACCATTCCAATTTTAGTATACGTGCTGCCAAAGCGAGCACTGTCCATCATGATTTAAAAAAAAAAAAAATCAGTTTATCATGAAAGAGCCAGTATTTGCCAAGAAAGAGATGATGACTGTCTTTACTTATGTGTTACTCGAATTCCGTACAACTGGATCATAAATTGGTTTCCAGAATTCCTAATCCCAATTGCCAGTCTCTAAAAGCCATTTTGTAGGGGTGACTGGGTGGCTCAGTGTCTGCCTTCGGCTCAGGTCATGACCTCAGGGTCCTGGGATGGAGCCCCGCATCGGGCTCCCTGCTCAGCAGGGAAGCCTGCTTCTCCCTCTCCCGCTCCCCCTGCTTGTGTTCCCTCTCTCAACTGTGTCTCTCAGTCAAATAAATAAATAAAATCTTTTAAATAAATAAATAAATAAAAGCCATTTTGTAGCGCTCCTTGGGATAATATAGAATCTTCTAGCACCACTGCCTGGATCTATGTCCAATCTGAATATAAAAAACAATAAACGACAGTACCCTCTTTACCTTCAGCACAGCTATAGTTCTTTAATTATGACAGATACTGACAAGTATACTTCCAAAAATATTATTGTCCCCAACAATAGAAGGCAGAACAGTGCCCTTCCCCAAAGATGTCTACATCCTATTCCCTAAACTCTGTGAATATGTTAGGTTACAGAGCAAAGGAGAATTAAGGTTGTAGATGGGATTAAGGTTGCTAATCATCTGACTTTAAAATAGAGAGATTATTCACTATTGCTCAGGTGGATCCAACGTAATCACAAAGGTCCTTAAATATAAAGAGAGAAAGAGGCAGAAGAGTTAGAGCCAGAGTGATGCAATAAAACAAAGACTCAACTGGTCATTGCTGTCTTTGAACATGGATGAGTGCCACAAGTCAAGGAATGTGGACAACTTCCAAAACCTGAAGAAGACAAGGAAACAAACTGCCCCCTAGAGACTCGAGAAAGAAATTCAGCCTAACCAACACGTTGATTTTATCCCAGTGAAATCCTTTTCAGATTTCTGATCTCCAGAACTTTAAAATAATAAATTTGTGTTGTCTTGAGCCACTATGTTTGTGGTGACTTTTTACAGCAGCTATAGGAAACTAATAAATGACATGCCAACTGCTATTTGTATTCTCTACATCAACGCAGAGATAGAAGTCTGCATTAATAGTATGCCTCAAACAGCACTTACATTGTATAGGAATTCTCACTCTTGTAATTAGTCTGTTATGTTTCTGAACCAGGGGAATGGGGGCAACTAAAAAATTAAAGGTCTTTCCTCCTTCTAGCCATAGCACAAGCGCACCCTGAATTGAAATTGTTCATTCCAGTTCCAACAAACTTCAAATTAGTAAATCCTCTACAGGAATTCAGAATAGCTTTGACTATAAGAACTAGTCTTTGGTGGTAATAACTTCATGCACGTGTGCGCGCGCGCGCACACACACACACACACATTGCTATCCAGGCATCAATTTAATTTCATGTAATCTTCACTCCCTTCTTGGTTAAGGTGCTGATCCTCCTACTTCACTCCCTTGTGAGTGAATGAAAACTTAAGAAATTATACCTTTATATAAAGTGAGAATGCTTTTCTAACTATATGAATTCTTTGTCCTTTAAATAGGTAGAACCAAGGCCTATCTATTTTACTTTTGCACAGCACTACTTTTCCTTGGAGAAAGAGTAAAAGATCACTTTTTAAATGTTTCTCTCTCCAGATAGGAAGCTAGTAGGAGCGAGATTTCCATATGTTTTGATTTGCCCAAGTAGGTATTTCTCTACTCACTAGTCTCTGGAAATCACTGTGTTTACTCAAGATTTAATTCAAGTCATGGGTAAATATTAAGAGGGAATTGATAAAGGCATATTAAGTTTTAGAGAATAAACTACACTTTCCTAAAAGAAACACATTATAACAGAGGTGACAGGACAGCTTTCTGCCTTTCGAGTACCAAAGGCCACACGAGCAGCCAACACCCCACACTTGATCTTGCCCTGCAAAATTTCTGCACAGCAGATAAAGGGCCAAAGCAACACAATTTAATAAATAGGACCCACTCATTCATCCATATGTACTAGATCTTAGGCCATCAGGCTTCTTACTGCTCCTACTATAAGAATCATGTTATGCTTGCATGCTGGACACAACTGTTCTGAATACATAGGTCTTTGTCTGGACCAAAACCAATGGGGGGAGGGTCCTCTACTATTAGTCTGCAAGAGGGTCTAACATTTCCCACCATTACAAACGTCAAACAAGATAAAGCCTTTTTATCTCCAAGAGGATTAAATCAAAACACAGATAGATTGACCTTGGAGATGAGCCATTAGTCTTTGTGAGATAAATATGAATACTTGATGGTATTATTTAATAGAGCTGCAGAGAATACTGAGGAAATTAAGCAGGCTCATATGGGAAGGACCAGAAGGCAAATGTGAAAACCATAAGGACATGGGTAGGACATAAGGACACTAAGATGCTGAATTTTCTCTGAGCACAATCCTTCCCTGGTAGAGCTAACTGGTGGGCTCCTCAGATTATAGATACTCTCTATAGCGTTAGCCAGTGTGAACCCAATATGAAAGAAAATGAAAAGCATCATAAATCTTTAAAAACAAATAAATATTTTCATTTTCATAGGTACCTTTGAAACAAGTGGTTAAGAACATGAGCTCTGAAGTCGAACGGTGAACGTTCAAATCCTGGCCTTCGCCCTCACAAGAATGCGATGTAACTTCTTCATGCCTCATTTCCTGCATCTGTAAACTGGAGATAATACTGTTACCTCACTGGCTACTCCAGGAGCATCAGCTATGATGATACATGTAAAGCTCCTAGCACAGTCCTAACCTCTACTAAGAGCTGAATATAACTGCTGCTCCTGCTAAGGAGAGGCTGCAAAGCATTCTGGGTAAGAACAGGACTCTTGAACAACAAGACTATCCAGGCAGGCTCTGCCATTTAATAGCTGTACAATCTTGGGTAACTTATTTAAATTATCTGTGCCTCACTTTCCTCATCTATAAAATGAGAGTGATAATAATAATTATATCAGTGCGATCTTGAGGATTAAGTGAGTTAATGTTTGTAAAATATTTAGAAGAGTGTCTGGCATATAATGTGTTTGATAATATGTTTTTCAGCTCTCTTGGTTTTAAAACTGTGATCATGGGGCGCCTGGGTGGCTCAGTTGGTTAAGCGACTGCCTTCGGCTCAGGTCATGATCCTGGAGTCCCGGGATCGAGTCCCGCATCGGGCTCCCTGCTCGGCGGGGAGTCTGCTTCTCCCTCTGACCCTCCCCCCTCTCATGTGCTCTCTCTCTCTCATTTTCTCTGTCTCAAATAAATAAATAAATAAATCTTTAAAAAAAAAAAAAAACTGTGATCATGGGAAGTCAAGGGGTCTATAGTGATACTCTGGGGGTCTGTGTGGTAGAGTGGAGATAAGGAAGGTATGGCCCAGCCTCACTCTCTATTCAAATAGAGTAACTCTATTTTATATATTGAGCTCTTGGGCAAGATTTTCTTTGAGTAAAAGGTCTTGCTGTTTAAAAAGAAAAGAAAAAAAGAAGAAGAAAAGAAGGGATGGAGGGAAGGAGACAGAGAGGGGGAGAGAAAGGGAGGTGAGGAGAAAAAGAAAAGAAGGAAACAAACCAGGGTTCTATACCAAAGGGCCCCCATATAAAATATCTCTATCAGTCTGGTTTCTACAAAATATTGCATATTTTTATATGCATTATTTAGCGAATTTAACCAGATCATTTTTAAGGTTCCTTGTAGACAGAAAATTCTGTTTCTTGAAAAGTGAATTTTAGTACATTCAAATTTTAAACACACAACTTCCCAAACTTCTTTAGGGTAAACAAAAATCTCAATAATTCTAATTTAACATACAAATCATGAATATTCAGTACAGTCAAATGAATAATAAATCACCCCTGACTTCAAGTGCTTGCCATGGAAAATTGCCTATTTCCTTAAGCACGCAGAAATCTGTTTTTAAATAGTTTTTTATTATTTTTGTTGTTGTGATGGTTGCTCTTCAAAGCAGCTTGGAAAATGTGCCATCTTCAGCATTAAGGAGCTAAAGAAGAAATGATTAAAGCAAAATATGGTGTCATTAACAAAAGGAAAGAGAGAGTCCATGGATCAGAAGGCTGGGTGCTGGGACACATTTTTTAAATGACACCAGGTAAAATTTATGATGTAAAAGGGAATGTCCTAGTCATTCTGAGTCTTGTTATCTATTTGAATAATAAATCAAAAGGCTCTTTATCCATTTATGGCTGAAATTATGACCTTAGACAAGTTACTGATGTGATTTACCCCACTGATGCAAATGACATGAAAACCCAGTGAAACCAATCACTGGATTGGTCCCGTGTTCTAGAAAATTAGTGAGGCTAGGTAGAACAAACATTTTGAAGGGAAAGTATAAAACTGCATATATTTATGGCACCATTATATCAGTGAGCTCATTCAGATTTCTTTTAAATAACTACACTTCAGTCATTGTTGCACAGAAATCCCAAGTACATTCAAGCTTAAGAAAATTGTCTATTTCACAATTTGAGGAAGGACATCACTAGTATTTGGCCCTAAATTGAATTATTAATATTTTACCTTTAAAGACTCATGCAGTGTGATTCCATTTGTATAAAATTTAAAATATGCAAAAGCTAGAGTGATTAGAAGTATGTACATTGATGATAAAATTAAGAAGAAATGCAAGGAAATGATTATTGCAAAGGACAGGATAATAACTACCTCTAATGTGGTCAGAGAGAGGATTAAGATCAGAGGAGGTTTGCAGGGGACTCTTGGGGCACTGGGAATACTAAGTCTGGACCTGGATAAACGCTGACACGGGTTTTCATTTATAATTATTCATTAAACGGGTTTTCATTTATAATTATTCATTAAACTGCACATATATGTCTTATGCAGTTTTCTTATATTTATTATATTTCAGAATTGTATTTAAAATTCCCTATTCTGAGATGACTCTCCACCCTATTACACAGG